TTTTCTCCATGATTTCCAGTAAGTTCCAAGATCTTCAGTAGTTCCTAAATCATTGCTTTCATCCACTGCCACCGCATCCACTTGTTCAGGCAAATCTTGAGAAACAATTGCAACTTTAAAGCAAAAATCCTCATGTTTCTGTAATAAATCTTGTTGTCGTTGTAATAAGTCCTGCTGTTGTTGCATCATTTGATCAAATAGAGTCTCAACATCTTTTTGACATCGTGGTGACCAAAACTGGATGCAGGATTCCACGTGTGGCCTTACCAAGGCCTTGTAAAGTGGTATTAACACTTCACCTGATCTTGATTCTGTCCCTCTTGTTAATGCAGCCTAGCACTACGTTGGCTTTTTTGACTGGATGGATTCACTTTAACAACTGGCAAGAAGGGTGATAAAATGGGGCAAAGCTCACTTAACAACTGTCTTGCTTAGCAATGGAAATTTTTGCCCTGGAAAATAAATCAGGGTTACATCACAACGCAAGGAAGTGAGAAGGCGGAAGGAGAGGCCCAGGAGTGGTGGCTGGGGAGAGTTAATCAGATCCCGAAAGTCAGAGAGGGGATGGGTTCAAAGAAGGGAAGACCTGGGGGGGGAACAGTCTGTGGGCCTGGTGCACGTGAGGATGCGTTGCAAGGGTGTAGAAAAGGACGGGGGGGGGGGGGAGAGAGAAGGGGGTTCCCATAAACCAGAACCAACAGTTAGAACAATTAACCAGTGGAACAACCTGCCTCCAGAAGCGGTGAATGCTCCAACACTGGAAGTTTTTAAGAAGAGACTGGACAGCCATTTGTCCGAAAGGGTATAGGGTTTCCTGCCTGAGCAGGGAGTTGGACTAGATGACCTCCAAGGTCCCTTCCAACATTATTATTATTATTATCTTTATTCATTAGACATGAACCTCAGTCACTGAACATTCAAATTGGCTGGCGCTGATGGTTGACACGGGTTGCTACCTGCATCCTAGGTGTCAACCAGGTACCTCGTTAAAATATAAGATGTTCCGAGTAGCGCAATTTTTTGTAACATTGCTGGAGTTATTATTGCAGGAAGCTGCAGTTTCTTGATGTGTTTTGTAAAGTTTTTGGACATCGTTCCCAGTGCCCCGATGACAATGGGTGTCACTGTTACACGTTTCATCCATAATCGCGCAGTTTTGGTCGTGATATTTCATAATTTTTTCCAGTTCTTTTTTTTTTATTATTGAAAAGTTTTATAAAAATTACAATATAAACCCCTAAACCCACCCACCCCTAACCCCCCCTCTCCCTCCCCCACTTCCCAGAGCTAAATACAGGGTTACAAATATAATAATCATAATCTAACTAACATTAACCAACTATATAAATAACCAACTCCATAATGCGCTTTAACTCCCCTTTAAGATAAATATAATAATAATAATTAAAACATAAACAAATTAGTATCCTAATTAAACAATAGAATGTCCATATTGTTAAACAATACTAATACTAAAAGTAATAATAATATCATATAATTAAAACTAACAAAAATTTCACTATAATAAACTATTAATACTAATAATACTCTAAAATTTACTCATAGGCTAAATGGAACTTCTTAGTCCCATATTTATTCTGAATATAATCTATCCATCTTCTCCAAACCGAAATGTATCTTTCTTGTGAGTGATCCTTCAAATAGGCAGAAATCTTAGCCATTTCTGCTAAATTTGACACTTTAAGCGTCCATTCTTCTATAGTAGGCAAGCAATCCTTCTTCCAATATTGCCCTACTAATAACCTTACAGCTGTTATCAAATTCAACATCAAGTAGCATCACAGTCTGTAATAACACCCAACAAAAATAATTGTGGAGTGAACTTTATCTTTCTCTTGAAGATCTTTTGAATGTTCCACCAAATCTTAATCCAAAAAGCTTTTATATTTCTACAAGTCCACCAAATATGAAAATAAGTAGCATCCAAGCTACCACATCTCCAACATTTGGGCTGTAGATTAGGATACATATAAGACAGCTTTTTAGGATCCAGATGCCATCTATAAAACATTTTGTAAAATGTTCTTTTTCTTCGACTCTGGCATCTCCTGGTTACAGCGATATCAATCAGCTGTACGCTTCGGTTCTCTACAACTGCGATATCCGGCGTGTTGTGTTCCAAATGGCGATCTATTCGAAAGTCCCACAAGATCTTCACCCTCTTGTTCTC